AGTGAGCATTCCATTACAGGTGGCTGTCAATGTTTGTGTTGCCATGTTGGTGCCAAGTCACTGAATTTTGGGGACATCCCTAATGTAGGTAGCAGGAAGGTGAGAGAATGAATGTTGGGTCTTGCCTCTCTGGAAGCTGCAGAATGTGGGATAGAGAAGATGACCTTGAGAAGGTCATGTTGGGGGACCATGGACCTCAAAATTGTAGTAAGTCTGATTAGTGGCTGATTTCCAATATGTGGTCCATTTTGACTGAGTGGAAGAATTCTCCCTCTTCCTGGAAACGTGGTATGTGGCAGCAGAAGAGAATCCAGATGAGGTTAAGAGTGGAATTAGGATTGAAGACAGTGCTCGAGCAATTCCTTAAGCAAAAGAAGTGAGTCAGTGCCCATGCTAGAAGGTACTTGCATGCTAAAAAGCACCATGAATATATAGGTGACTCTGTGATTTCCACAGCCTTCCATTTCTTGTGTTCATTTTCCCTGGTACTACCCCAGGCTTCTCCATGCATCCATGCAACTTTGTCAGGTGCTATCCACATGTGTCTGAGTCAGAGAGCTCAACTGTAGAGATAGAAGTTCTACTAATTGAGAAACCTCTAAATGAGGTGGGGAGGAAGGGAGAGAGAGAGAGAGAGAGAGAGAGAGAGAGAGAGAGAGAGAGAGAGAGAGAGAGAGAGAGAGAGCGCTTTACGAAGAGCTATCTAATGCATTTGAGGAAGGAAAAGGTACCCAATAAATTGTATTTCCCAGTCTGCACTCCCTTAGCTTCAGGTATGGGAAAGTTAGTTATCAATAAGTACGGGACATTGGCCTTACTCACACTGTCCATTTGGCTGGATTTCTCCCCTTGAAACAAATACGTCACAGTGTCAGTATGGAGAATTCTCTAGTTGAAATGTTATCACCTGGGGAAAAATGGTCAACTCTGTGGTTCTTCCTTATTTGTGGTTTCTAAATCAGTTCTGACTCATCTTCACTTCTTCTTTCACTGGACACCTATCAGACGCTACTGTTTGCCAAGCATAGTGTTAGGTGCTAGGGACAAGGCTAAAGGAAATGTCCCTCTGGATCCTTAGCTGCTTAGAGCTGAATTACAGAGCCCCTCATCACGGGAAACCACAGCAGTGTGGAGACTGCTCAAGGTGTGCCCAGAAGCCTTGCCAGCCCAGAAGATGAACCTTTCACAGTGTGCACGTGAAGGTGCAGGTGTTTGGGGCAGCTTCCCACCATTGTGGGCACCTCACCTGCCCTGAAGAGTTAGCAGGCTTATTCATCAAGCTCTGGAGATAAGTGTGTAAGGCTGCCTTGAAATTCCTAGAAATGTTGAACAGAAATATTTCTTCTGTCAAATGTGTGATGACTTCATCAAGACTTCGTAGGGAGAGCCAAAATAAATACACTACAATCTCTCAGCTCAGCCTTACCAGGGCATAATTCAAATCCTTCTCTGTCTGCTGAGCTTCTGGCCCTGCCAGTAACCGAGCTCCTATCTTTCTCCTTGGGAATTATCTGAAACCCGACATGGACCCTTTTCATATGTTCATGTTGTACTACCCACAATTAGATCACTGTTGCTTAAGGGTAAGGATGTTTTCCTCTCTTTACAGGAGGGTAGAGTAGGGCTTGTATAGAGCCTCTTGCATAGATGTTTTTGGTGGCTGTAATGGAACCAGAAAGGCTTGGCCTGGATCTATTTTTTTTGTTGTTGTTTACTATGTGGCTTTGAGAAAATTATCTAATTTATTTGAGTCTCAATTTTTTTCATCTAAATAATGGTGATCATATTAGGGCTCATCTTATGGGATTATGGGCATAATTAAATGAGGCATTGTGCTACATGCTTAGCATAAGGCTTGAATTCAGCAAGTGCTTAATGTAGATTTCGTTGGAAATTTAAAAAAATATATATGCCTTTATGAAACCCCATTTCTTATTTCCACACTTCTTCCTATTAGACTGAGCAACTGACTTGACTCCTTGCTGGAAAATTAAAATAACTTGATGGACTTCAAATATGTCCTTTAAAAAATTCTTGTCTTAGTGAGCTTTGTCTACTATAGCAAAGTGTCATAGACTGGTTTTCTTAAACAGCAGAAATTTATTTCACAATTCTAAAGACTAGAAGTCCAAGATCAGAGTGTGAGCAGATTTGGTGTCTGGTAAGGGCCTTCTTCTGCTACCTTCTTGCTTCTCTCTCCTCATGTAGTGGGGGCACAAGTGGAGAGAGAGAGAGAGAGAGAGAGAGAGATTGAGAGAAAGAGAGAGAGAGAGAGAGAGAGAGAAAGGAAGTTCTGGGGTCTGTTCTTCTTGTAAAGACACCAATCCCAGGACATAGTCCCCACCCTCATGGCATCATTTAAACCTAATTACCATCCAGCCCCCTCCCTTGCCAAACATTATGTTAGGAATTAGGGTTTCAACCAGTGGATTTTCGTTGAGATACTTCAGTCCAGAGCACACTGTCTCAACATTGAGGAATAAGTGTTTTAAGAGGAAGGAAGTAAGAAGAAGAGAGAAAAGGAAAAAAAGGACTAAGGGGAACCACTCAAGTACCTTTTTTCTACCATCTTCTTTCTATCAGCCTCCTTGCATCTCCTAACCTCACCTATCGAGGGCTTCAGAATGGAGAGCGACCTTGGGTGGAGACCAGAAGCTGCGGCCTGGCGCACAGGGCCCTGCTTTAAGGAAAGGGCTGCACACTGCATGGTCTCTGTCCCTGAAGTGAGCATAGCCTTTGTAAGGGGACCAGCACCCAGGAGAGGGACATCCTCTGGTGATGACCAACAGAGAAGAGGGGGCCAAGGTACCAGCTTTGGGCAGAAGCATAACTACAGGTGGCCCCAGGACCTGAGCTCAGTGGAAAGCACTGATCATCCTGCATTTTGGAGACCTGCCTTCACTTGGCAGAGACAGAAGAGACTGACAGAAGGAGATCACCCCAACCCATGTTGATGGTAGTCCCAAACTCTGCCTCAGCACCATCTGCCAAAGCCCCTTTTAGAAAGCAGGAGCTCATGTGGCTGGATGCCTGGCTTACACAGAGATTTGAAAACAGTCCCATGAGCTTCAAAGAAGGGATGAGATACTGATAGTGAATAAGTAAGGGTGCAGAAAGTTAGAAAGCAAGGGTTAAATATCTCGAGATTTCTTAGAGAATTCATGCCTCTTCATGTAAAGTAAGTAGAGAAGGAAAAGAGAAAACTGTCCCACCACAGCCAAGGTGCTGACCATCTCCTCTGAACCTCCACAGAAATTCCCTACAATGTTTACATAATCATGGATCATTTTCCAAAAGTTTTATATCAAAGCACAACTTCCTTATTTTTATGCAAAGCTCATAGTAAGACAGTTTGGATGAATTGAGACTTGTGATGATATTTCTTTTCTCTGGTCAATATAACTTCCTGTGTTCCAACTTCACATACAGCGTCACTGGGGAACTCAGAAGGGTCACATAGCAAATAGCGTAAACCAGTTCCACAACTTGAAGAGCACTGGGGGGGGAGGGGAAGGATATGGTTTTAGCTGTGCCAATGGAGTTCTCAGGCAGAGCCTCAGGGGGGAGCTTCATTCTAGATGCTTCAGAGAGGAGGACCAGAACTAGTGAGTGTGAGTTACACAACGGCAAGTTTCAGCTCAGGACAGGAGAGGACTTTCTGCTGAACAGGATGCCCTGTGGGTTGGCAAGCACACCATTCCCACTGGAAGTGTTCGGATCAAGGCCAGATGGCCATCAGCAAAAATTAGGAAGGTAAAGTGAGGTTTTTCAATCAGCTCCCATGTTCTACCCCTGCCAGGGATGCGGGATGAAGATTAGGGGGAGGTGGGATGTATGTGTGGCTGTCTTTCTAAGAGGATCTTCAAAGTCCAAGTTGCTGCCCTCCATCAGCCCAGGTGTCTCACTCCCCTGGTCCTTCATTTTCCCCAGCTCCCTGAGCCATTCTGAGCCCACAGAAACTTAGTTCTTAGATCTGACCACCACTTGGATCTTGATTTTCAATCGGCCTTTTTCACTACCTAGTCATGGTAGTCTGAGATTTTGAGAATGATTCTGTTCAGCTTCTTTTCAATTTAATTCATGATTCTGTGGCTCCTAGATTTTGCTTTCCCAATTATGATCCTTCCATACCACATTTTTTTCATACTGAAACTAATTTGTCATCTTGATAAATTTTACTGTCCTTTCTTGGGTCTCTTTCTTAGAACTCTTTTTTATCTTCTTGAAGCAGAATGCTGTGGACCTCCGTGGCTTAGTACCTCACACATTCCCCAATGTGTGCATTTTTACTCTATGGGAAACAGTATAATATATATTTTTAAGATGCATTAATGGGGTGGGGGTTGTGGCTCAGTGGTAGCTTGCTAGCCTAGCATGTGCAAGGCCCTTTTTCAATTCTTAGCACCACATAAAAAAAATAAGTAAACAAAATAAAGTATTGTAACCAACTACAACTAAAAAATAAATATTAAAAATTGCATTAATGTAGGACAGAGAAAATCCAGGATCTTCTACAACTAGATGGGCTGTGTGACTTTGGGGAAGTTATTTACCAGCTTATTTGTACATTAATTTCCATGTTTGCAAAATGGAGAGAGAAGCATGTCCTCCAAACATTCATGAAAACAAACAGTTTAGTATTTAATAGCCTGACATACTGCTTTGCATACAGTAGGGGCTGAATAAGAGATGGAAAAGAAACTGAAAGCTCCCATCTTAATTATAATATCTTCTTAATTGTATAAGATATATTTAATGAAATATGTCAATTCTTTCAAAGGAATACTTTTCAAACCTCCCTCTAAGACTCAAGTTTGAGTTATTTGGTTCCAATTCATTTAAATCAATCTTTTTTAAACAAAACTCTTATTGAGTAGCATTAAGAACATTGTACTCACACATCCTAAACATAAATGCAAAGCCTCATGTCTTTACAAACGTAAGTGGATATGTGTGAGATGTACATAGAATTAGCCCACTATCTTCTTTTTAATGTTCAGACAGTCTTGGCACCTTCGAGAAGCAAGAGCTACAGCGAGAAAAGTGGGAGAGGAACAACATGCCAAGCAGAAGCCTCTCTCGACGCTCCATCAGCAAAGAGAGATGGGTGGAGACACTGGTGGTGGCTGACACAAAGATGATCGAATACCATGGGAGTGAAAACGTGGAGTCCTACATCCTCACCATCATGAACATGGTACACCTGACTGTATGAGGTGGGGGGGCAGTCGGTGAAGAGATGCCATTAAAAGTGCCTTCTTGCCCATCAAAGAAAGAGGTCCTTTTAACCTGCATAGATAGATAGAGATGTGTGTGTGTGTGTGTGTGTGTGTGTGTGTGTGTGTGTGTGTGTGTGGTGTGTGTGTTCCCCCCTATCTAAGTGAATACAGATGGAGATTTAGGACAAATTAGTATTTCCCTTAAAAGCATATATCCTGGGGAAAATGTGATTTATCATTGTATATTTTTATTAGGTACATAGCAAGCATTTCAATCCTTTTGGTATGACTTTGTCTTATCCATCATTTATGTTTTTATATAAATGAGTAAATTGAACCAAGAATTAGAGTGTGATTTTCTCAAAGTAGTTATAGCTAGAATTGGAATAAAGTTATACTGCAATTTCTAATTTTAAGCTTCCCTTTGCCTTATGGGTGTGTTCTGCCTTTCTGTTAATAAGGGGGAAAGGTATTTGCTTGAGTAACTAATAATGAAAGTGGGGACGACCCTAGGAAAGGGAATGGTCAAAGAAAAGAAAGGGATTGATGTCTCAAGCACATAGTCAGTCAATCATCCAGAAAGATTATCTTTAAATACCTCAATGTGGGTGGAACTGTTGGCATATCTTACTTGTCTTTGTTCTATATCAAGAATGTGTGACCTATAATATGATGTGAATTCAATGGCATTGCAGTGATGTTTTTCCCCTGCCGCATAGATACACATTACCTATCCATGTGGAGCTAACAGTTTTCCATTTTTGACTCCAGGTCACTGGGTTGTTCCATAATCCAAGTATTGGTAATGCAGTTCACATCGTTGTGGTTCGGCTCATTCTCCTTGAAGAAGAAGAGGTAAGGAATAGTTTCCGCTTTACTCCTCTCTGTAACTGTACACTTTCTAACTCCTTTTTCAAAAGGGTTCTTGATAAATAAGAGGTTTCCAGATAGGTGTTTGGAAGCTCATAGAAGAAGGACAATAGTTTTGTGTTATTTTCTTGAGTACAGCCATATTGAAGGCAAGAAGGATGTCATTTCCAAAATGTACATAGTTGGAATCACCTGACTGCCACTACATTTAGTTATACACAAACCAGACCTACAGCACGTACTAAGCCAAGGAACTGAATATACTCCTCAGAAGAGGATATACAATCAATCAACAAATATATGAAAGAAAATGTGCAACATCTCTAGCAATTAGAGAAATGCAAATCAAAACTACTCTAAGATTTCATCTCACTCCAGTCAGAATGGCAGCTATCAAGAATACAAATAACAATAAGTGTTGGTGAGGATGTGGGGAAAGATGCACACTCATACATTGCTGGTGGGTCTGAAAATTGATGCAAACAATCTGGAAAGCAGTATAGAGATTCCTTGGAAAACTTGGAATGGAACCACCATTTGACCCAGCTATCCCACTCCT